CATTCAGTCGGACGTCTCAGTTTCCTGAGTCACAGCACTGTGAGTCATGTATCTCTGAGTGACCTGAATCTGTCTCTCAGGCGAATCCAAGAGACTTGCCAATCTGTTCGTGCGCGCCCTCAGGTAGGGTCACTGTGTCCCTATCTGTGCATCGCCGTGCGGAGCACTCGCTTGAATGGAAGGCCTGAGTCCACACCCATCCTTGTCAGCTCACCGACCACTGGCTGGTGGAGTCCCTGGATCAGGTTGCTTAGGTGGTTTGGAATGCATAGGGGGTTTATGTCGTCCTCAGGAAAGGTGATCTCAATGCCCTGGATTAGATTGGCAGAGCCCAGCACCCGGCGTGGATCTACTGAAAGATGTGCAGTGGAAGGTTACTTTGCACAATTCACCCATGGATGCCTGGGGCAGATGACTCGCAGTCATCCCTGGGCCAGATTCAAATGGAGGCAAGTGTCTCGAAGGCAGCAGTCACGATGTGACAAGGCGTCATCGCGTGCATATCGAAATAAGTGGCGCCCTCGTGCGAGCCTCTGGAGCATAGTCTTGCAGGGATGGTCTCGATCACTTTACCCGGCTTGGTACAGGTATCGATCACCAAGTGCCAAACCGGATGTGCTTGAAGCATGGCTGTGCTTGTGTTGCGCCAGTATCACTTCACCTCAAACCAGCCATACTGGTTGCTTGCCGAACCCCTTCATATACCTCCTGGGCATACTGTCTGCTGACGGTGGATTGCTCAGTACGCAGCCCGAATGCACTCAGCAAGCGACTGTGACTGCAGCCTGGCCACAGGTAGCTCCGAATGCGATCTCCAACGGATTCACCTCCTCTTCTCGGACCGAGAAAGCCGGGACCCCAGACACACACTTTCACATTTCATCACTTGCGAGCCGCTCCGGTCCCAAATCCGGAGGTGTCAGATGCATACTCCTTTTTCTTGCTCAGATTAGGCCACTTCTTTCAGTGCGCGTGCAAGAGCGACCATCTTTTCCTGACACAAACACGAGGGTTGCTGATCATCACACGATCAGCGGGAGTCGTCTTTTTCACTCGGACTCCAGCTTTGCTAGGACGGCGAAGCACAGTGCATGGCGTTTACCAGTCTATACCCCTGCCAGAAAGCGTGCGTACCACAGGGCGTGTTCTCGCGGGGCTTCTAGTCCGCAAGGTGGTACCATGTACAGAGGAAAATGGTGCACTGTTGACACGCTCAACGCTCAGCGAAACCTACCCATCATCAAAACCACGCAGCGTGCGCCGCCTCGTGTCGCCACCAAACGTCTGCGTATTGTCTCCCTCAACACCGGACCTCTCTCCACTGCATCATACGATGAGCTCATGCTATGGATGTCAGATTACGTTCACACCCTCGACCTAGTACTCATTCAGGAGTGTGGGTGGCCAAATGACGTGGAATACTCTACCGATGACTGGCACATCGTGTACTCTGGAGCGGGGCACAAAGGCCAAGGGGTCATGGTGTGCGTCAACCGTCGTTTATGCCCAATGGCCGAGGCGATTCGATGGCGATCAGTCATTCCGGGGCGTCTCTTGCATGTTCGCGTCACACCACCCCGGGCCGGCTGCTCGATAGATGTGTGCTGTGTGTACCAACATGTTTGGAGCCCGCAAGGCCAGACAGCGGTGCTCCTACAAAAGCGCGACTCTGTTTGGCAGGCCCTCTCCCTTCTTATCACACAGATCCCTGTTCGTAACACCCTAATATGTGCAGGTGACTTCAACACGACGCTTCACTCCTCCACTAACTGGGTGGGCCCCGCAGTCAGACCACCAAAGACTCGACCAGTGGATCAGGATCGCTTTCAACAGCTTGTCGAAACTCATGACCTCATTGCCACCAACACCTGGACCGCCGTTTCTAAGGCTCATACTTTCTCATCCCATCAGGGTTGCACACAGCTCGACTACATCCTATGCAGGCGCGCGTGTGTTGATCATCAAGCCAGACATGCTTGCCCCGAGCACCATATGTCTCTCTTTGCGTGGCAACAGGGCGGGCGTCACTTTCCGGTCTTCGGCAGTCTGCCGCTGCGCACTTACCAGGGGTCCCGTCACCCAGCGGACAACAAAAGTGAGAGCCTGACATCAATCCCGTATGACAAGGAGGCCCTCTGCCGCGCTATACAGCATCACACCGAGGACGCCCAACGACTGCAACATGTTATCCACCACCTCCTCGAAACCCGCTGTCCCACTACGCCTGAAGGGCTGAACAATCTCCTTATGCAGGCAATGGCAGATATCTTTCCAAAGAGGCCAGGTCCTCGACCCGCTCCCGCCAAAGCCTGGCACAGTGAAACAGTGCAAGCACCCATAAGAGAAATGTGGCTGCACCACAGGAGAGCCCGCATGGCGAGAGTTGGCTCTAGCCTCGGGTCGCTATTCAGGGCATGGGTTCACACCACTCGCTTTCAGGCCATTCGAAAACAAGTCTTCCGTGCCGGACGCCAACGACGACGAGCCATGTACCAAGATCAGGTCGACATTGCGTACCAAGCAGCGCAGCAGGGTGACCAACGTACCCTGTATCAGGTCATACGCCGACTTGCTCCCAAAACCTTACGGCAACGTGTCCAGCTGCATGCTGAGGACGGCTCCCTGCTGTCGGATGCACAGGAACTACAGATTTTCCATCAACACTGTCAGGATCTGTTTCAGTCATCGGCGCCCGCGGTTGCCGCGCCAGCGCTGCAAGAGCCCTACCAACTTGGTGTGTCCACCCTTAATTCTGCCATACTCGCCCTAAAGCCTCATAAAGCAACGCCATCTCACACTGCACCGACTGTAGTCTGGCAGCTATGCTCCTATCGTCTGGCAGAGTGTCTGGCCGGCATGGTTGCGACCTATTGGAAACATCATCCGCAAGTCCCGCATTTGTGGAGCGACGCATGGATAATATGGCTACGTAAGCCGGGGAAGGTCCCTCTTTGCCCAGCGGACCTACGTCCAATAGCCCTTCAAGATACTGGCGGAAAAGCCATTGCCAAGGTTCTGCAGCAACATTTGCGGCCAGTAGTCCAGCGATGGCTGGCAGCATCTCCACAATATGCATATCTGCCAGGTCGCTCCCTGGACATTGCCATCTCCAGAGTCCTCTGTATCTGCGGTCGAGTGCGTGACCGCCTGCAGGCGGGCAGACTTACGTTGCAGCAACGCAAGAGGGGCATGCAGCCCAGGGCTCAAATCGGGGGTGTCATCTTTTCCTGCGACCTATCGCAGGCCTTTGACCGTGCGCAACGAGCTGACATTTGTCATGCATTGACGCAGGCAGGGGCTCCGCCTGATCTTGTCTCCCTTATCGCACACTTTCATAATGACATCAGATATCATCTCACAAAAGGGTCTCGTCACGCGGAGGTACGCTGTGGAAGGGGGGTACGGCAAGGATGCCTCATCGCCCCTCTCTTATGGGATGCACTCACCGGTCTCATCTTGCAGAGACTGGAGGAACGGATCGGTGCCTCCTGGGTGAATGAATTTGTGAATATGTTCGCGGATGACTTGCTTGCAATTTGGGAGATAGGTGCCAATACTTGCCTGTGGAAAATCACGGATCAATTACAGCAGGTTGTTCTCACCCTGCAGTCCCTGGGATTGAAAATTAATGCCGCAAAGTCTAAGATGGTGATTGCTGTCAAGGGATATCGGGCGAAGCAATGGCAGGCACGCCATGTCAAACTAGACAGACAAGGTCAACCCTTTTTCCACTTGTCTATGCCGGGAAATCATGAAGTCCTCTTCCCAGTGTGTCGAGAGGTGCCATATTTAGGGGTCATAATTTCCTTTGGAGGATACGAAATGGCAACTCTGAAACATCGTCTCAGGCAAGCGGAAGGGAATCGGTTTCGTCTCCAAAGGCTTCTCCAAGGCCGACATGTGCTGACTAGGGAGCAAAGACTCAGATTATGGATTTGCGTGTGTTTACAGCAGCATGACGTACGGCCTACATTCCGTAGGGATGACACAGAAGTGCACCACCATGCTGTGTACGAGAGTCGTCAGGCATCTTCGAGGGCTGGCGGCCTCGCCGGTGCACCTGACGCATGAATCAAATGAGGCTTTGCTTGCTCGCTTGGGGATTGCGCACCCGGTTGCAAAGTTGGAAGATTCATGCGAAAAACTCCTGCAAAAATGTGCTCTGTCCCATGATCAGATGGTCAGTCATCCGCTGGTTCTTCGCCATCTCTCAGCTGTGCGCGAACAGCTTACTACATGTCGCATCAAACATCCTCTCAGCAGCATCAGAACCTGCACTCCTGCAAATGTAGCGAAAGCTACTGAAGGCACCTTTTATGATGGGGACATCGTGCAGGCCGATGGTCTGACGGCAGCGGCGTTGGTGTGTGATGTATGCCTCCTCTCTTTTGGGACTCTTCAGGCTCTTAAACATCACTACAAAGAACAACATCTGGCGTCTTTGCCAGTGACAGGCAGTCGTTTCGATAGATGGCGGCACTCCATACATGGTCTACCCACATGTGCGCACTGTGGTCATGCTTTTGGTTCGTGGGGTGATTTGCAACGACACATTGAAGGGAGACATTGTGCTCAGATGTGGAAGGTACATACTCAGCAGACAAGGCGTGCCTCCACGACAAGTGCCCTCTGCCTTCCGCCATCTCAGCAGCCACGCCCGATGTTGTATAATGAAGTTTTACATACAATGTTGTGCATGCAGGGTTGGCACCATGCCTTGGACCACTATACCGAGATTTCACAGCTGGCAAATCATTGTGGTCTGTGTGGTCAGTGGATTGTTGACTCCCAGCATCTCAAGACACACTCGAGGCGTACTCACTCGCTTGAATGGCAGAAATACTCCTCACAAGTGAGCATCAAATGCAGGCAGCTGGCTCGCAGCATTGTATCGTCCTGTCGCTGGTGTGGCACGTACTTGAAGAGGCCCGCTCCTCACGCAAATAAATGTGCAGTGGCCTTCCAATTGTGTCTCTTGTCGGAAATTCTTGGCTGTAAGGATGGCGCAGGACGATCAGCTGTTATTCGATGGCTATCTTCCACAGCTGCAACAAGCTGCCCAGCTGATGGTGGCAGCCCCGGTGCAGCCCCAAGGGAACATGGGACTTCAGCAGGTCCAAGCATCCCCGGGCACGCCAGTTCGCAGGTCCATTGCCACGCCACAAAGAAACCAGAGAACCCCTGCGCGCGCGCCTCAAGGCTTGGGGAAAAGGAGACGGCCGGATCCGGCACGACGATCTCCTCTCTCCCAAGAGTATCCAGAGCTGGACCCATGGGCAAGCCCCTGGACAGTCGAGGGCTCCTTCTCAAGGCCTTCGAATGCGGGGCCCGACCACTTCACGAGGGATCTCATGACAATGGTTACCCAGCTGACCTTGCGGCAAGAAGATCTGCTACTACGCATGGCCCAGGACACAACACATGTCTGGACGATGAAGAACTCTCAGGCGGGCGACTCAGTGGTGTTGCAGATGTACCAGGAGATGGTTCGCTGGCGACAACAACAGCAGGCCGACAGGACGCAGCTTCGGCAAACCTTGCGGGGTGCAGTGTTGCTTTTCCTTCTGCAGCAGATCGAGGAGCGACACCAGAGTCTTCTGGGGGATCCCACCAAAGTTGCTGCGCTAAAGCGCAAAGGCTGGCTCTCCCAAGGCGGGGATTGGCACTACATGAGGTGGGAGAGTCAGAAGGAGGAGCTCACTCCGGACACCCAACTTGCGACGATGAGTCCCACTTCCTTTCTTCAGGACCTGACAGAGATCCGAACGTTCCTGGAGCTATCCCCGGAGGGGTTGCTTCACAAGTTCCAGGCGACACGTCGCCTGACGGGCGAGATGCAGGGACCCATTGTCACCTTTCTTTCAGAGATATCACTGCGGCACGCATCCGGCGACGACCTGTTTCACATCTTGAATCGCTGGTGCGGGTTGGCGTCTCTGCTGATCGTTGGCCTCCAGATCAAGCAAGCCCGGCCGCGACGTCATGCCCTGGCAACGGCGATACAGCAGGAGCTTACAAGGCAGTTCTGACTTCTGCCCTCTTGAATCCATCCAATCTTTGCTATGTGAATACCTTTGCAGTGTCATATGCTTGGTGCTTGGCAGCGTGTGAAGGTGACCTGTGCTCGTTCCTGGGGCGCTCCTGGGAGGCTTTTCGTGTGTTGCTTCAACGTTCTGCCAAACCCTTTCAGCTCACAGGTCTTTTATCATGGCGCATTCTTTTACAAGGCTGGTCAGACATTACTAGTCAACACGATGCAGCAGAGTTTGCAGATTTTGTCCTGGGCAGACTGGAGCGAATCCTCTGTTTTGGGACGTGGGAAGCTTGGTTTGTGCAGGGGGGACAGTTGGTGAGAAAATTTGACCAAGGCTTGAACAGACATATACAAGTGACAGTTTCTCCAGGTGAGCAGTCTCTTGCTGACTGCATTGGGGCATGGGCAACACAGGAGGCACCGACGGATCTTGAGGATATCCACCTTCGCCACACCCCACTTGTGTATATGCTCTGCTCACCACCACCACCTTTTCTGCTGCTCCAGATCAAGCGTTTTGGCAACTCCATGGCAGGCACACAGAAGATGTTCGCTCCTGTGTGCTCCGAGGCTGGTCGTGCATATTTCATTCCTGTACGTGTGAATGCTGCCACCGTGACTCTCCGTGCATATTATCTGATCGCTGTGATCTATCATCTGGGCGAGACTACCACTAGTGGTCACTACAAATGCATTCTGCATCGCTACGTGACAGGGAGATGGATGAGCTGGGTTACGGATGACGGGCGCACCGCCGCGGTTGCGACAAAAGCTGATTTGCAGACTGCCGCGTGCAATTCTTATCTGGCATGGATGCAGCACGCCTCTGACATTCCAGATGAGACCATGTCCCTGACTTGAGAGGTACGCTCGTTCTGCTATTTTCTTTCTCTTTCTGAGTGACGCTTGCATCTCTCTGTACATCACTGCACATTCACTGTACATTCTTCTCGCTTTTGGTAGGGTTTGACTCCTCGCATGCTGTAGCATACGTGCCGGTGCGAGCTGCTGTCTTGAACAGCCGGGCAACTCGTTGCTTGAAGTGTTTCACGCCGTGCTTGGCTCCTACTCGTGAGCTGCGATCGCAAATGCAAAAATGCAAAATGCATTTGTGGTTGCAAAGTGGGTTGGTTTGCGGGTGCATGTCTTTCTTCAGTGTGCAAGGAAAGTTTCAGTGTGTAGGTAAAGGGTGGTAACGCATGGAGTCTTAGAAGTAACACCAAATAAAAAAACAATAACCTTGCAAGTGTCTGTTTTTTCATTCTGAATGGGTGTGTTGTGGTTTCGGCGTTTTGGCAGTGTGTCATGGAGTGTGGTGTGTGTCATTATGTGGGTGCAAAGTGGCTTTGGTGGGTGGTGTGCGTTTGCGTGTATGTCGGCTGGGTTCTGCTAGCTGTTCAAGTGTGAAAGTGTGTGGGTGGTAAAAGGTGTGTTTGGAGACACAAAAAGAGGGCAAGAAATCAACTCCAAAAGGTAGGGAAGCCGAAGTGACCTCCACAGTGCGAGAAAGATCGCACGCGAACAATGCAAGAGTGCTTTTCTTGAATGCCAGCTAAAGACAAGTTTAGCCAAGAACACGCGTATCGACGGCGTTTTTTTGTTTTCTTGAGTGTTGATGCAAGCAGTATCGAATAGAAAAAATCTTGTTTGTCTATGAGTTGATTTCAATTAGTCACCGGGGTGTGTGACACACCTTTGTGTTGTCAGAAGCTGTTTTTTGCATTTTTTTCAATATTCTTTTTGGACTGCTGAATCTGAATGGTGGGCAAGCGAAGCAAGCAAAACACGGTGTGTAACATGTTTTTTTGTTGTCATAAGCTGTTTTTTGCATTTTTGTACTTCTTTTCAAACTGCTAATCTGAAATCTGGTTAAACTGGAGTGTGGAATTTGTTGTTAAAATTTTATAAAGGGAAGAGAAGAGAACTGACCTTTGTGTTTTTTCACATTTGAAAAATTTAGAAGAAAAACCAAAGAGCCAGTTTGATTCCACTTTTTTTTTGTCGTTTTTTTTTAAGGTGTTCCAAATCTCTTTCATTTACTGTTTGTTTGCTGGAGACAATTTTTTTTTGTGTTTTGTGTGTGTGTGTGTGTGTCTTTGTCGTGTGTGTGTCAAAGCAGTAAAGTGCAGCAACAAATGCAGCTGTATTTTGCTTCCAGACCAGACACTTAGCAATTGAAACTTTGCCAAGTGGAATGTTTCTGTTTCATTTTTTACCGTGCACAGTTTGGTTGAAAGTCCTTTACAGTAGCTGGAAAAATGTTCAAATTTCAAAGTTTTGACAATTTTGAAGATTTGAAGCAAAATTCAATGCACTGAAGCAACTTTCCAGAGCTTTTGAGGGCTCCACTTTCCATTTTCAAAGCATGTAAATCCGCTGTTGCTTGGAAAATTCTTTCTTTTTTAAGTTACCGTCCCTTCTTGGTCAGCAAGAACTGCTTCCACCTAACAACGTCCGAGCAGCAGCTTAAGGCTGTAAGACTTCCTTAGGAACATGCCGCAACTTTTGAACCCAAGCAAACTTTTGAGAATCGCTAATCAGCTGCTCTTAATCCAGAAACTTTTCTGGCTGCAGGGCATTGCTCTCAAGTCCACAGAAGTCCATCTGGCCTGGCTTTCCAACCTCCGCTCAGCACATTGCTAAAGGGAAAATCCGCGCAAAAGTTGCTGGAAATACGTTCGTCCAACACTGCTGGTAGCCGATCACTTCCAATAAGTCTCCAGGTACACCAACTTGCAAGGGCATGTAAAAAGACACGCTAAGCAATTACAAAAATTTTTGCAACCAATCTTGCTTGTGCATGGTTGGGTCCATGGAATAAGGTGCTTGATGACCTTAAGGGGTGAAGACGATGCCCCGCAGCCGTTTGTGAAACGCCATGGCATCCGAGCAGCAATGGCCCGCCTGCATTTTTCCATTAGTTTCCAAGAAGCCTTAGTCAGTGCATGCGTTTTTTGCTTGGTGGAAGCAGCAAGGTGATGATAAGTTGTGGATGAATATATTTGGCCCACTTCGGATCTGCCACGCTCAAGCTTGCTCTCACTTGCTCGGTGATTTGCGCGAGTTTTGGTTCCTGGAAGTTTGCAAGCTATGACCACGTCGAGGTTGAGCACTGAGAGGGTGAGCCGGAGACTTGCATTAATTCGTGTGTCACGTGTTTGTCACAACGAACTCTTGGAGAGGTTCTAAGACAGCCCTGTCTAGCCAGGAAGATGCAAGGTGAATTCGTTTGTTACGAGTTTAGACAACGAACTCTTGGGGCCAATACAGAACCCAGGACAACCTGCCCTATGGTGGGATCTTGCATGAGTTTATGTTAGAGATCGGCTGGTGTGTCGTTTGTTTTGTTTCGTGGCGAGTATGCACCAAGGGAATGTGGCCAGGGCATCCCCTTAGTGTTGAAGTGCCGAGCTGTGCTTGGACTTTGGATCTTTGGCATGAACCCTCAGCAAAATGCGGGGGGAAGATCGTGGCTGATCATTGATGGTTTTATGATGTTTTGGATCAGCTTGTATAGAGTTGTTTTGCTTCGAAGTGATTGGGAATCTTTGTGATTCCATCCTCGATGTTTTTGCCTCGATGATTTCCCTAGGAAATCAAAGCCGAGTTTCAGCTTACATGTGAATTCGTTTAGTTTGCGCACTTCGTGACTTCTGGCTCAAGGCCTGCGAGTAAAAAAGAGTCCGCACTTGGTTGAGATAGGTTTGGGTTCGTGCTTTCACGGGAAAAGGTACCAGAGGGACCTTCGGTTTTTCACGCTCTTTCCCCCGAGCTGGGGCCTGGCGGTGGGGGGGGGTGGCTGACGTGACAGCAGTCGGCAGTGTGGCAGATGCCGAGCGAAGGCATCGGTGGCCTGGAGGCTGAGGAGCAAGATTTGAAAAATCTGGTGAAGAAGACGGTCATCCAGCAAGATCGTGAGTTAGAGGCGGAGAAGAAGCGGAAAAGGATCGCTGAGCTCGAAGCAGCAGAAGCGGGGCGAGTAAAAAGGCCCGAGTTGAGCGAGAAGATTCTGTGCGCTCACCGATCACAGCTGGATGCTGTAACGATCGCTGGCAAATCGTCGCGCAGCCAACGTAACGGCAGGTTCCAAAAAACAAACCAAGACAAGCTGGCAGCAATCAGACGAATCTTTGAGAAGATGCTGGATGAGAAGAAGAAAGCATCTGAGCCAAGCAAGTCTTCGCAAGATGTGATGATGGAGCGGTCGGGTGAGTTAAAGGAGATGAAAGATGCGGCAAGGGAACGCCGATCGAGGGTTGTTGATGCCGCTGCAGAGAAGAAAGACGCTGCAGAGAAGAAAGATGATCCTTCTGGCCTCATAGAGTTGTAAGAAGCCCTGCAGCTGTTTTCGGGACGCCATGGATTCTGGCCGCCATGGCACGCCCTCGTTTTTCCAGTCAGCGCATGTGTTTTTCGCTTGGTTTAAGCGGCAGCAAATTGATGATGAGTCAAGGAAGGGCAAGTTCCCCACTTACAAAGATTCTTCTGATTGCTGCCTGGTTGTCTTTTTGGACCTGCCGCTACGTTGGTTGCGTTGCGATTTGCCAACAATTTTTGGTTCTTTCCTGGACTTTGTGAGACTGAAGGCACGTCGAGGTCGAGTACTGAGAGTGGGGGAGCCTGAAACTTGCATTAATTCGTTTTGACCAACGAACTCTTGGAGACTTTCCAAGACCTCCCTGTCTAGTACAGGTGGATGCAAGTTGAATGCGTTTGTTGGGTACCAATTGGACCCAGGACAACCTGCCTTATGGTGGGAACTTGCGTGAGTTTAAGTTTGATGTCAGAGATCGGTTGGTGTGTCGTTTGTTTCGTTTTGGTGGCGAGTACACCAAGGGAATGTGGCCAGGGCATCCCCTTAGTGTTGAAGTGCCGAGCAGTTCGGATCTTTGGCATGAACCGTCAGCAAAATGCGGGGCGGTGGAAGATCGTGGCTGATCGTTGATGGTTTTGTCATATTTTGGATCAGCTTGTATGGATTTGTTTTGCTTCGGAGTGATTGGGAATCGTTGTGATCCCATCGTCGATGTTTTTGCCTCGATGATTTCTATAGGAAATCATACGAGTATGTTTTTGCCCAATACGCTACTTTGAGTGAGTGTGCAGTGAGTAGGAACTGTGTTCTGAAGCTCGTTTAAGCTCACAACTGAATTCGTTTAGTTTGCGCACTTCGTGACTTCTGGGTCAAGGCCTGCGAGTGAAAAAGAGTGTGTCTGCACTTGGTTTAGATAGGTTGGGTTCGTGCTTTCAAGGGAAAAGGTACTAGAGGGACCTTCGGCTTTTTGCGTCCGCATTATTGCTACTGCCTTGTATTGTCCTTTTTGTTGAGAAGGAAACAACTGTAAGGATGGGGTGGGGGTTGGAGCGGTGAGGGGTGGAGGGGGAAGGTGGGAGGGGTGGAAGGGGAGGTGGAGTCGGAGGTGGGGCCTAGGGCCTGGTGGTTGTATGTTTGTTGCTTTCCGGAACGCGCCCGAAAGAACCAACTTACCTCTGAAGCGTTTCTGAAAACAATTGCCCGCCCTGCGCGCCATGGCACACGGCGCGCCTTGTATTTCTTCACTTGCGCCTCTCGCTTGAGCAGTAAATGCGGCTGCATTGCTGGGATTTGGCGCAGAAGCTTCAGTTCTTCATTCTTGATTTTTCGGCAACTAGATGGAAACACACACGTCGTGGCCATGACTGTTGTTATTGTTGTGATTATTTATTGTCAAATGGATTAGTTGCTATTATGTTTCTATTTGACACACTATGACAAACATCACAATTGCGATTATAATTTATAATCATTATGTGATTATTGCAATCATCAGTGCAATCGCTCAGAAGATACAGAGTATGGACCCACGATTTCAGTGGTTTGGATTTTTTGGCAAAATTTTTCAAGCAACTACAGTTGAAACATATGATGCGCAGGGAAGACTTAGGATTCAAAGGCATCCGCGACTTTCGCATTGCCTCCGTGCTAAAACATTCACTACGATTTCTAAAGCTCACGAAGCTCAAGCTGAAATCACATTGTTTAGAGAGGCGGTGACAAAAACATTGTTGATTTGACAGTTTTTTTGGAACTCGGTTGTTTACCGTCGTGCAGTTTGCATCCCCGCGACACCAATTTTGGGACCCAACATCCATGTCCCACGCGATTCATAAGTTTGGCCCTCTTCTTTACACGCATCCATGGTGTGGTGTCCGGGCCCTCACTGCAACAATAAGCCAATGGTTTTCGGGCCTTTTTGGTTATGAGTATTATTCTGATTTCGAAAAGACGGTTGTTTCGTATTTTTCACCAGCATTGACAAGTATTATTAAATGATTAGTCTTATTGATATTCATATTATTATCATCATCAGTCCAAATTTTTCTTCCATGATTTTCGCGGTGTTGCCATTTTGGGATTGTTACCGTTAGTTATTCCGCCAATTACGATTATTGCGACGGCTACCGTTAGACCCTGTAGTACTATTACTACCACGAGTACTATTGTTCCGATTAGTGCGATAATTACTTCCTACTTTTACTTATTATTATTATTATTATTATTATTATTATTATTATTATTATTATTATTTTTATTTTTTATTATCATTTCTTTTGCGACAGGTCTCGCGACGGCGTTTCAAAGTCGTACTAGACCTCGAGATTTGGCGTATGGAAACACGTTGCGTGTGAGAAGGGCGCAAAGCCCCATCGAAAAAAACAAAAACGATCCCAAACCCAGTAAAGCTGCAGCCCAAATGTTAGACCGCAAGCTTGAGCAGATCATGCTGCATGATTGCTTTGCAGACCAAAGGTTGGGCCGGATGCTAATTCGTGCGCTGCAACTCGCTGCTACGGGTGACCCGTTGTTGTAAAGACCGATCAGCATATGGCATATGATGCCACAATATGCCACATGCATTGGGACCATTCGGAGTGCAGTCGATGACTGCGCTTGTAGGACTCTCTTTTCAGGCTGACCGGAGCCATTACGTCATGTTCGTGCTCACAAGGGGTTTTGACAGAAGTGTCATTGAAGCTCAAAGCGAGAACTGTGTCGGGGGTCGAACAAAACAAGTCCGGAGCTCTATGCCGAAATGCCTGCACCGGTGTGATATGAGCTGGACGACGGGACACCGGCAATAGATGGCCGTGATGGTTCAGATTGTTGAGGCCAGACATTTTCTGATAAGCTGGAATGGGCAGCGTGAATCCATTGGTAGTCAACACTTTGGGTTGTAGGATGGGTATAAGGCGGTTTCGCGATCAAAACATTTAAAGTTTGGGTGTCTTAAGGGATCAGAGGCGTATTCGCGCTTTGTCAGTGGGGCGGGGTATTTTGTGGGGGCGACTTTTGTAAATGAACGAACCAGGTTTGACTGTTTGACCCTGTGTTATTGACGCGGCTCTCATTGATCCATGGCTCTCTCACCAGTGATGGGCAGAACTCAGCTGTCAAATCTAGAAGTCAGAGACTGCTCCCAAGCATACAGTTCTCGCAAGTCCGACAAAAGACGTCCACAAGCAAGATGATGTGTTAAGGCTGTTTAAAGCTTCGGAATTAAAGTTCGGATCTAGTGTTCCAGGGTTTGGCTTTTAGGGTCGTTGACGTGTGTGCTGCACGCCAGCCTGAGCTGGAGCCTCAGATATTTTTCGGAGCTACGAGTTGGCCATGAGGCGTGGTTTCAAGCCTTGGGTTCAAGTGCTGCAAAAGCAAACCCTTCAGCATTGCTTCTTAGCACTCTTCTGAGTCTACTGCAAAACGATGGAAATCACAATTGCGGAGCGCTCCGACCCCCACACCATTGCACCCCCACACCCCCACGCACCCACACAATCCCACACCCACATACCCACACACCCACACACCCACTTACCCACACACCCACCCACGCAGTCCCATGCAGTCCCACGCAGTCCCACGCAGTCCCAGACAACATGTCATTCGAGGTCACGGCTCGCTTTGATGGAGCGCAGTTGGAGAGCTCAGAGTGAAGACACGTGGTGAACACTTTTTGAGAGGTATGGAGAGTTTTGACAGAGTTCTCGTGATTTGCCAAGTTGGAGCCTTTAAGGCTCTGTGACAGGGATTGACATTGCACATAATTTGGCCGAGCCGAAAAGATTCTTCTATGTTGCACCAAACTTCAGCAAAGCAGCTCAGACCTCAACTGACACGACTTGTCGGTTATGCAGTTATACTTCACTTCGAGCCTGAGTCTGCACGTCTTACGGGGAAGGGTTTAGGGCCTTTCGGGCCGCAGGGGCTGATTGGGTAGAGCGCCACTTAACTTTCCCGAAGCACACATCCCGAAGTTGAAGGACCTGCGCATGCAGCGAGGTGTTGCAGGGTGTCGCAAGATCCCCCAAGAACTCAGCCCCCAAGAGCCCCCCACCTCAAAACGTCCGAGGTACCACTGGGGAGGCGGAGATGGAGGCTTACCTCTGATTCGATGTAATGGTGCCCAGGGGAGTTGCGTTTTTTTGGGGTTCAGGAGTTTCAGGAGTTCGGAGTTTGTGAGCCTCTGGAAGGACATGTTCACCGAGGAGCGACTGGTTGTAGATGTGATTTTTTTCCTGAGAGGTCTTGGGGGTCTGGAAATGATTTGCTTTTTGTGCGCCCTTGAGTTCCCCCCAAGATCCGGGAAGAGCTACCTGTGAAAGGCTTCTGCAAGTGCGCAGCAGGTGGACGACGTGGAGTGCAGCAAGTCAGCCATCAACCAATGGTCCGTGGTCAAGCCATTCGGGGGCTGCCGGGAAGCCCGGTTGGGGGGCAAGCCCAGTGCATTCTGGATTTGGGTCAGACCTGGGCTCAAAGACCCAGTGGTTCTTAAAAGTAATTTGTACGCAGGTGTCCTTCAAGAGTCTTGCAGGGTTCTGACAGTGGCCCCTCAAGTCATGAAAGACGGCACTAGGAAATCTGTTCCGTTAAAGATCGGGCACTATGTCGTTTCCTTTTGGTGCTCCTGAGGTCAGCCACCGAAGCAGAGATCGCTGCATGCGAGCATCGTGGTGGGTGATTGCCTCTACATCTTCGGAGGGTGCGCCGGCAATGGTGGTTCCCGAATGATGCTTTCATTCTGCCTGGGCGCTCAGACACTTTAGGCTAGACTGCTAAAACGAGGTACGATGGTAGCAGCAGGGTGAACGACTTCTACAAGTTCAGCTTCAAGGAGCGGGGAACTGTAGCTGGCGGGGTTGAAGAAGACGGGGCGCCGACATTTTTTGCATTTGTTTTTAAGCTCGCTTATCCTGGCTGCGAGTCTGCGCAGGACTTTGAGTACAGAAGTGCCCAAACTCTTCCAATGTCTTGCTGAAGTATCTTTACGCTTCTTCCGGGTTAAGAAATGTGTTGATGCCAGCTTGGGAACGTCAGGAAGTCAAAATAAAAAATCCCGAAATGCAATACACACTCAACACTCAGCTTCAGCATTTGCCAGACGTCCAAGGGATCGTGCGGCTTGTGCTGCGACATGTCGCGACCCCGCCGCACATTTGTGTAAAGCGGTTTCGCATGCTAATCCGACCAAGCCCTCGGCCAACCTTTGTCCGAAATTCCGGAACCCGCCCTGAAGTCCTTTCTCACACAGCCCTGACAACAGAAGCTCTGTCTGCTCTGAACGGTCGCTTGCAACCTCAGCCTAGGACCGCCTAAATCCGCCTAAATCCCCCAAAGCTGAAGACTGCAACGCATCTGCCTTCCAGCGGATGTTTTCTGAAATGTGCTTGAGCCGAGTTTGATCTTCCAGTCGACTTGCAAACAACCGATACCCACATCAATCGACCAGGCTTCCAAGTGGTCGCAGATACATCCTGCAGGCAAGGCGTTTTCGGAGTGAGCAATTGTTCGGAGTGAGTCGCGCGCGTGACAGGGCTTGAGTTTTCTCTCTATCTGGCTCGCGTGAGCTCTTTCCGCTCTGCTCATCTCTGCTCTGCAGGCTTCCCGTCTTCAAACGGGTCTTGATCTCCCAAAAGAAGTGTCAACAACAAGCGCAAAGCTAGCAAGCGCTCGAGCAAGATCGAGAAACTTCAAGAGCCCCAACAAAAGAATCCACAGAGTTGCAGGCAGCAGCCCGACAGCACGTGACCGGCACGTGGTGGTGCGGGGCGCCCAAGTTCCTGAAGCGCCGCTCCAAACCCGGATGCCCTGAACCTGGCTGTGAACTCATTACCCGTAGGGCTCCCAATCTTGCGACGCATGGGCTCACAGCAACCGCTTTGAGACGTTTTTTGGCAAGCAGAGAACAACATGTGCAGGGCCACATGTTTCCAGAGCCCCTGCACAGTCCTTTGCTCCGTGACTGCGAGGTCCTACGCGGACAAGATCTACATCTTCGCTGGTTACGATGGCAACAACCGTGTGAACGACTTCTGGCAGTATGACACTGAGCACGAGGCAGAGTTGTGGGACGTCCAAGACTCGTTCTGGCTTGCAGCTTGTGGAACCGATGGACTTTCGTTGCAGAATATTGCCATGTGATGAAGTGGTGAATGTAGCCAAGCTCAACGTAAAAGGGGGGAGGGTTGAGGGGGTTGAGGGGGTTGAGGGGGTTGAGGGAGTTGAGGGAGTTGAGGGGGTTGAGGGGGTTGAGCGAGTTGAGGGGTTGAGGGGGTTGAGGGGGTTGAGGGGGTTGAGGCCTTGAACTAAGCTACAAGATATGACAAGATGGCCAGGTCTGGAGCACGGTCGATGCCGCTCTGGGCAATCCACCCACCCCACGGCACAGTCGCGCTCCAAGTCCATGCAGCCTTGGCAAAGCCCTCCCCCCCTTTTTTGTGTTAGAGCTGCTTGCCTGTTTTCCCCACCCTTGGGTTTCGGGTTTAGGGGGTTGTTCGATTGCAAAGTCAGCCCATTCTGCTCGCCCATACTCCTCGGTTTCCTGGACAGAATCCTGCAAGAACTCCGCCAAGCAGTGCTGTGGGAGTGTGACCTCAGACTACACATGTATTTCCCCAAACTCCCGCCAAAAACCAGCCCTGCACAAGAGCATTTTTCAAATCCTAACCTCAGCTCTTGTAAGTTGTGCTGCTTGTCTTCCTGTTGCTGTAGGGGCTCCCGAAGGCCTGGAGCAACATGTTTCAAGACATCTGTACAACAACAAGCCCAAATCAGATTGAACACGTTCCGAAGAGCAGGCTTCAACCCAGAATGCATGTACTGGCATCTTCCCAGGCCACTCGGGTGTCGAGTACGACGGATCCATGTACATATTTGCAGGCTACGACGGGAACTACAGGACGGGATTGTATTGTGTATGGCACCAGGTATCCTGAAACCGGTTGCGTGTTCGGCGTGTAGGCCGAACCCTCTATCCCAGAACTGTTGCCTAAAACGGGCTTTCGCTGTTAGCGGTGGCTTCACGGAAGCAATACCGAGAAGTTTGACGATTCCAAAGACACTCGAGGTTTAGGTCTAGGGGTATATGGAATGGTGTGCAGTGTTGATCACGAAGGGTCCTGCAAAAAGTTGACAAATGGTTCGTGCAACTCGCCGGGGTGGACTTGCCGCTGCGAAGGGTGCTTGAAAGTGCCAAACGACTTGTCATGATCATGATGATATTTGCTGCGAAAGCGTTTGGTCTTCTCGCTCTTTTGTTCGTCGGGTTTCGAAGTTCACGACCGTCACAAAATCGGGCGATCTAAGGCCTTTTGAAATAGGTCCCAAAAACATCTGCTTCCAAAGCCTAGTGGCCTAGTTAGCACATTCCAGATTTGGCTGCTACTCCGGAAGCGCATCTCCCGCCTTCGAGGAGTGACTTTCACCGGTACAACTTCCCGCAGCGCAAGTGGTCCGGAGCCAAGAACTGGAGAAACTTCAGGACGCAAGATGCCTTCGCGCCTTCATGTTCGTGGCTGTGAGGTGCTTGCGGTTTTGTGCCGTTGTGGTGGGTGCTGAATGTGGTCGTTTAGTCGGGCTTCAGGGCGCTTGAGGTGGACATAGCCGTGGAACATGATGGAGGTCCAGGGAAAGTCTGGGAGTTCCCGGAGTTCCCACAGTGGCCAGAGACCGAAAACCCCGGCCCAAAGGGGGTCCTAAACATCCGAAAACGTTGCTCGCGAGGTCCATCGTCCCTGTCAAGGGATCCGTGCCCAAGGCACGCTACAGGACCTCGGCAGTGGCGTGCGCTCGCAGTTCAGAGTGCTGGCAGCAAATGTCTTCAATCCATGCCATGAGTCAATGAGAGCTTACTACCGCACTGTCTCTGCACAAGCTCAGTGCACCTGTGCGGCCTCAGGGCCGCAGTGATCAGTAGTGCTGCCACAATGTAGGTGCAATCTTCGTTTCTAGTTGATTCATGCTGTATGCGCACACCTTGCGCACGTCATGCTTCACGGACTTGGCGGCGAAAGGCCCACGCTCTCGTCGAACTTGATCTCTATGCAGTCGCTGTGCACGCAAAGGCTCTCATGTCCTTTGAGGCGTCTTTCTCAACGAAAATCGGCTTGAGCTCGCCTGCCCGAAGTAATCATTGGATCTCGGACACTCTTGAAGGTCCACCTGCCACTTGAATTAGCTCGCTTCATTCCCTTTCAGTCATCTTTTCGGCTCACTTTCGCAGCTTCATCCTGATGTTGGCTGCCTAGACTCGATGTAAATCCGCCTGGATGCGGCTTGCCAAAGAGGCTTTTGCCATAGAGTACGTGCTCCGCTCACAAGCTTGTCAGCACAAGAATGTCTTGCTGATGAGGCGGCCACAGTGCAGTGTAAGACGTAGGGTACTAACAGTTTCGGATCGTTGGCCTTGCCAAGTGGCTCTGCTCTCGGCTTTCGGCGCTTGGCACTTGCCTTGTCTGCGTCGCTTGCGTCGTCTTTTTGTGGTTTGCGGCAGCTCATTGAGGCGCTCCTCCTTTTGAGGCGCCTCTTTGGGTTGGGTTCGGCTCGTCACTCAGGTTGACGGTTCGGACACATGAGCCCCCAGGGCTTGAAACCAAGTCATGGAAGTGGTCAAGGTAGGTCTGGAACGTGCTTAGGCTTGCATTGTTTTCGTCTGGCTGAAGTGTCGCTGGCATGTTCTGGGGAGGGCCTGAGTTTCTGGATCTGTCGCATCTGCCCTGACATTTCCTGGACATTCCATGACGTCAGCTTCGGGAGTTGCTCGCCTGCCCTGGGTTCCATGTCTTGTGAGCACGGGTCATTGGGGTGCAGCTGTCCCTAAGCCGACGTAGTCCCACAAAGTCACAAGCTGAAGTTCCAGCAAACTGTCCCTTCCTCAGATTTTCTACGAAGCTCTCAGCCCCATGTCCTTCCACGGAAAAGTCTCAAGAAACTTCGAGATTTGCAACCCCAGACGCCCAGCTGAGAGGTACAAGAATCGTATGCTTGTGGTTGGGGGTCACGATGGCGCCAAGCACTTGAACGATTTTTACCAGCTTCTTGGCTTCTCTTAAGGGCTTTTTTGTTCTTGGACTGCTTTTGACACTATTCCCCAAGATACCTCGAATTTTGAATCGCCGCACCGCAGACCCCCGAGGTTCAATTTCGACACGCTGGAGTGCACATCCTCAGATACCAGGGTTTAGGGTTTAGGGTTTCGTGTTTAGGGTTTAGGGGCTCCTGAGTTTTCCTCTCGTTTATAGCTTTTAGAGTCCAGGGCCTGTCCGCTTGTCGGAGGCTGTCTAATTGCTTTCTGTAAACGGGCTTTCCGCAAGTTGAGTGAGAGTTTAGTGCAAGGCTGAAGCCCCCGGAAGCCCTCACAACCCGCTGCCGAAAGAACTGCTCAGCTGGCCTCTCTCAAAGCCCATGCCGGCCTGCAAGCCCGCAAAGGGTCTCAAAAAGGTTTCACAAGGCCCTCAAGGACACCTCAAGGGGCCTCCAAGGGTCCCAATGGCTGTTTCTTTGTTTTGGCGGAGTCTGCTCGAGGTTTCATGTGTCACTCGAGGGGAGCATCTCCTTAGGTTCGCGGCTTTGTGCCACACCGTTTGCCACTTGTCACCCCCGCCCCGGCCTTTCGCACCCCAAGCACTGCGTCCTTTGCAGGGAACCCTCCAACCGCCCCCAAGGTGGAGCCTGGTGGAAACGACAGGGCAGGTGCGCGTTTTTCTTGGTGTCTCCTGTTGAGCTTCTCATACGACTCACCCGTTCTTGAGCAAATCTCCCGACCTCACTGTCAACTCAGGCCTAACTCTACACCCTGCCCCAAGCCCCATGTCCTAATCCTGGTAGCCCGCACGGCTGAAAGTGCAATGTGTTGCTGAGAGTCTCCGCAGAGATACTCTGCTGTTGGATGCGTCTTGCCGGTGTGAAATCCACCTGGCAAGTGAAACCGAACCCGTGCCGAATGTAGGAGAAGCACAAGGAGCTTTTAAGTTCCGTCAAGGCGCAACTCGGAACCCAACCCACTTAGAACCCACACCAAAAACAGAACCCCCTAGTCCTGCCGCGTATCTTCTTTGGGAGCTCTCGTTTTTATTTTCAGCTTTTCACTGTACAGTTTGTCCATATTCTTCCCGTGCGACTGTATGGTACACTTGGTTTCCTCTGCCTGTGACCTCCCACACCTGCCGTATTGTGCGAGAGAGTGCAGCTGCGCTGCCGAGTGGGAAGTTGAATGAGAAGGCAAATCAACTTTGTTTAGAGCATTGTGGGATCATTTCTTTCCTTCCCTTTCCTCTCCTCTCCTTTCCCTTCCTGTCCTTCGCAGCCTTACAAAGTCCCTACTAGGGTTCGAAAAACGTTCCCTAGTGACAGTCAGGTTTATCAGGAGGCCTCTGACATCCTCTGAATCACTTTCGAAGCTTCAACTCCGAGCTCCAATTCTGGAGGTGCCCCCGCCGTCGCCGCGGGACTCCCATTCGGTTCTTGGGCTTGCAGTGAGACATGCTTGAATAACTGTTTATATGCGCCTTTTTTTTTTTCATCGGTTTTGTTTCGCGTATCTTTCAAGTCGTAATGAAAAAGCACAGCTTTAAGTGTCCAAGTCTTAGGGGCAGTTTCGTAGTTTCGTTGGTGTGGAGAGTGGTTTCTCTGTACGAATGTGGTACCTGCAAGACTTTGTGAGATGCGTTTCATGGGGCCCCCCTGCTGAAGCGCAAACCTTTTTCGAAGCTTCAAGGGGGTCTGCATTGCCTATGCCTGCCTTGCGGCCCACGCCAATTCTAATTCAACTTTCTCCTCTCCAACGCAATGCTTGGCTCGAATGCCAATGTCCTTAGCGGAGAGGGGTTGTGAATGGTTGTGATGGGTTGCGTGTGCGTTTTAGATGCATTGTGATTGCTGTGATTGCTGCCCGGAAGCCCGAAGCTTCAACCCAAAACACCCCAAAGTCTAGACGGATTGACGATGCTTCGAAGTTGTATGCATGTGCAAGGCGCACGACGTCAGGGTTGCAGGATGCAGGTGTTGATGTTTCGGGGCACACGCCCAGGCGGTGATTTGCGGCGACTCCATGTACCTCTTCGGAGGTAGCACTGGCAGCGCGCGCAACGACCTGTGCCCTGACCCGAACTGCCGTAGGTACTGGCGCAAAATCCAAACTCCGCATCTACACCAACAGCCAACATGAACCTGACACTGAAAGACTCACGCACGTAATAAAGCTTACTTGGCCGTTTCCCGCAGGAGACTATGCATAAGTACGCATACAGCCCATTCGAGACAAGCTTTGGGTGTCTGTTGTGGAGTTCTCGGTTTTCCTCTGCCCCTTTGGCCTTAAACAATTTTAATGGGGCACTTCAGGCTGTTCGCGAGCACTCCAGAGCGCACCCGGCAGGTACGCCTTCAGCTTCGAAACGGAGCAATGGACGGAGGCTTCGGGGACGATGTACCGACTGGAGGGCCTCTGGCAGTTTGGCAGATAACCCCACACAACACCCCCCCCTAAACCCTGAACCCTGAACCCTAAACCCTTATGCTTGTACCCCACACATCCCCAGGCCTCTCCAGAAGACTGAAGCTGTCACGAAATGTTAGCGTTTGTAGCATGCTGTATGAGGGGGTGGTTCCGGCATTGACTTCCTTGTGGGGAGATTGCGGGTGTAAAGGCTCTTCAGGTGTGGTGTTGTATTGGATGTTCGAGTTTAACACGCTTCCACCGCACCAAATCTCTCCAAACTCGTAAATCCTGTAGCTTAACCCCGCGGCTTGCCAACGATTATATCATGATGTAGTAGATCTTCAAAAGGTTGCGTATCCATTGGACAATGTATCTTCGCAGCACAAGCACATTACCTTCGGGGGAGTGTGTCTTTGGCCTTTGGCCGAGGTTCCTTTAGTAAATTGTCTGCCTGTTAGGCATTTGGGGTGGGGTCCTTCCAGGTTGTTCCAGCTTCGGCATCTGCATGTGCCAACACCCTACACCCTAAACCCTAAACCCTAAACCCTAAACCCAAAACCGCAAACCCTAAACCCCAAACCCTAAACCCAAAACCAGAAACCCTAACAACCCAAGCCACAACGGCAGGTGCGGGCAACCCCGGGCGCCACGCAGAAGGCCAACGTGCCCTGCCCTCGCCATGGCCCTAACCTTGAGATGCCGTGAGGCTTGGGGTTTAGGGTTTAGGATTTAGGGCCTTTTTCGGGCCGCACCGGCAGTTTCACGGCGGGGCCACAGGAAGTGACGTTTGCCCAGGATTCTGCCACACCTGCGATGTGCCTGAGCCTCATTGCACAGCACAGTACGTGGCTGCGAAAAGAGACGTCATAGATCCCAATGTCATGTTCCGTTGTTTCTAGTTTTGCGGGGCAACGTGGGCATGTCACGGTGCTTTTTGGGTTGTTGACACTGGTGCACCTGGCGGGTTCCTGTGGCATACGTTTTGGGCGATATTCGCTGATTTTCCCAAGCACCCTGCCCTGTCTCTTCGTGAAGTGTGGACCTGTTTCGCTTTGGTTAGTTAAGTGATGTCGTGTGGCGCTGTTCGGGGTCACCCCTAGCATAGCTCTCAAAATCCTATCAGCTTCCGCATCCATCATGAAAAAGGTTGATAGAAGCAGAAACCGAACGACCAGAACTGTCACACTGAGGTACAACAACTCGCTGTACGTTTTCGGTGGCTACGATGGCCAGCAGCGGCTCAACGACTTCTGGCAGCACGGAGCTTAGAAGCGGCGTCACGCTACGAGGCGCTGTATCATGCTGTATCTGATCATTGCATCTTAGCACTCGAAGCTGAAGCTGATGTAGGGGATAGAACGGACAGAACCTCTGTTGGCAGTCGGGGCAGTCGGGGCCGCCAGAATGCCAAGCTCCACAACGAACCTGTCCTGGTCGCTGGTCGGAGCGCGTGAATGCATATTGGATTCGGCAGTCATCTTGCACATCCGTGCGCCAACTTCCCTTCCAACGAAGTTGTTTCTGTCGAGAGACCGGTGGCCACGAATCCACGTGCAAGTATTGCACAACAAGAGTAGGTCCTAGCCAAGATGAAGGGCTAGGATCACCGCGCGTTGGTCATTCATACAGAAAAGCTTTCTTGAACAATCAAAAATACCAAGAATTGATTTTACGGGAAGTTCTCCCGCTGCCTTATATCAAACTATAAAGTTGGCAATGCGAAATAAGTGCTGTGAAGACAATGCTGTGAAGACAGCGCTTGTGCTCCAACCGCTTGGTACACCCCTGCCTAGTTCGGGTGGGTAGGCATCTATCCCAAACTAAACACCGCAAACGCTCTAGAACGCAACCTTCTCTTTCCTGAATGCTTCTTTTGTCGCTGACACCTTTTGCAGTCTTCGTGCTGAAGGTTCAAACTTGCCACGGAAGTCAACATTGATATTCCCAGCAGTTCCCTAGTGCCGGGCTCAGCAGCTTTCATGGTCTCATGCAGTTTCGGACCCAGTGTTCAGGGTTCGGGCAAGTTTAGGTTGAGAACTTTCCATCCGCAGGGAAGCTTGGGGCTTGGGGCAGGAAGGACCCTAGTCGATGATGCTTGGGGGTGGTGTTCTCTAAGGTGTATGTGGTTTCACGGAGGCAGCGGGTCTGAACAGCAAGTCCTCGTTCCCAACAGTTCTCAAGCTCCAGATCTCAGCCACCATTGGATCCATCGAATTCACTTTTTGCCTTTCAAGACCCTTTCGACTGGAAAGCGTTTGGGGGTACATAAAGGGGTTTGGGAAATACCCAGGTTGTTGCTGCTCCCAGCAAGCCGAGCCGAGGTCGCTGACTTGCGCGAGTTCCTCAACGATGCAAAGTTGCCCGCGCCCTGTGGGGGGATTATTCGTTGGCTTCACAAGCATATGAAGCCTGGTATTGGAGATGGGTTTCAAGATGTCTCGGAACTTACAACCTTGACAGTAGCAGCCCCAGCACCCAAGCCGCGCTTGCCCATTTTCCGACGCCCGGGATTGGCCATGGAGCAGGGATGAGACCCTGCTCAGCAGCTTCTTGTTCGCGACGCCTTCGAAGACGCTTGACAAACACCAAATCAATGCGGAGTTCTGTGTTGAGATGCGCTCCGCCTTGGTCGATGTCTTCGAAGGTTGCCGTGCCCCTTCTGCGGTTTGGATTCTTCCGGGCGTCACTGTCTTGGCTGGTGGGGATGCAGACTTGGCCATAGCCTTGTCCGGAACTTGGTGCGGAACTTCTGTCGTAGTGGCCGATTGCGCCCCGAGCTAGAAGATGCCGCCATCATCAATGCACTCGGCGAGGGGCAATAGCGGCAAGAGATGTACCACGTCGATGCTGATGGGTCCGGCGCTGCCCGGTGGCCAAAAGGGGCCCATGGGGAGCGCAGGGAACCCTTGCTTCGGAGCCTCAGTGCTTCACCGCACTGGGGCAGCGGAAGGAGCACGTGCGTCGCTGTTTTCTCGTTGACCTCCTTGAGCGGACAGCCGCATAGCCGTCCTGATCGCGCGACCATTCGCTGCACACAAAGAAGGGAAGAATCCCCCCCCCCCAACGCCACGTCGAGCAAAGGTCTGATGTCACTTTCATCGTAGAGGGGAAGCCTGTCTTCCCGGCTGTCCTTGGAGTCCGAGGGAAAGAAAGAGGGAGAGAGGGAGAGAAGGGGGAGAAGGGGGAGAGGGTGATGGAGAGAATGGGAGAGAGAAGGATGACGTTTTGCAAGCTCCGGGTATTGCAAGTCCCCTTACACCCCTGCGGTCAAGCGTACGCGCACGCGAGCGTAGCGTGTTGTCATGAGTAGCATCTCGTAAGCAGTGCAGATTGGGTGTGTAGAGTTTGCGTTCTATTTGGATCAGATATCAGATTCGGGGCTTTCCAAGTGAGAAGTCAATTACGACGCTAGCGCGAAAATGCACATCATAACCAAACAAGAACAATAACATCAGTCGTAGCAATAACAATACGAAGAAACTAACGATAGCAACAATAACAACAAAGCTTGCTAAAAAGTTAGAGCAGCAATAATGGTAACCCGTAGCACCACCATGGCATAACCTCTCGCTACACCCCAAAACCCCTGCAACCTACACTTTAACCATCAAGATTTGCTCGGCCCATTGCCGCACTCAAGTTGGCATGCCAGGTCTATGCACACAAGCTGCTCTGCATGCGATGTTCATACTTCCGGGCCATGTTCGAGGGGCAGATGCGTGAGGCCGTCGGAGTTGGTGTCGCTTTGATTCTGTAAAGTAACCGTAAGCCAGACTCTACGTCGCACTAGGCTCTGAAAACCCCCTCAGGGCGACGCTTCCAAGCCAATCCTGCATGAAACGCTCTATACACCTAACATCACCCCGAAACCCCCAATCAGCTTCCCAACCAAGAAAATTGTGTGGGAGGCGCAGCAGAAGACAATCACCATCAACAATGTCTCGCACCGGGTCTTCTTGGCTCTGCTGGAGTGCGCACCGGGAGCAGGGGGGACAGTTTCTGGGCTTCAAGAGGCTTAAGTAGGCTTTTCAGAGCAATTTGGGTGGTAGGGTTCTAAGTAATTTATGCTCCAGAGTAAGGGCTGACACTCGAGGGAGCAGTGGAGCCCTGAGGGTGTGGTGTTCTGTGTTCCTGCGCGTCTTCCCTTCCCCATTTCTTGGGGATTCCAAACCCTTCGCCCTTTTTGGTGCTTGGGCTTTTCGATAGGGCTCATCGGCCTATTCACTTCAGTGAACAAACTGCTAATTTGTGAGAGAGTTTCGCGTTTCAGAGAACAGCAAGCTGTTCTTGTCGAAGGGTGAGTGCTGTTGCTAGGTAGAGTTCACGAACTCGGCAGTATGTTGGAGAACCCGGCGAAAACCCCCCACTTCCAACTTCCAAACCCGACCAAGAGCACCAGGTATTTGTACACAGATGAATTCGAAATCTCCATGGACATCGCCGGCGCCTAAGTGCGTAGACAACGGTACTCCATTTCTGACCCTGGACCCTGCATAGCTTGAAGCCTTGGGATCTAGATTGTGTGGTGTTCGCCCAGCACGCTTCGTCTGGTTCTCAAGCGTCTGTTCTCGCTTGTAGAAAGCTGTATGTCGTATCCGTCCTCCGTCCCCCAGCCATTTCAGCAAGCAGTGCAGCGGCCAACTTGAAGTCGCAACGATTGGTATTGGATTTAGATGGTTGTCATCATGCGGGATTGCGTCGGTTACAGCGCCGGTCGCTCGGAGCGACGGGTACTGCTGAATGCTGTTGATACTTCCTTTACTTGAAAGCTTGGCTCGGTTCTCTCCGTAGCAGCTGCACAAAAAAGGGAGCTCCATACCGACCCGCTTTTTTGTTTCAGACTGTCCCTGCAACCTTGTGAAAAGGACACTTCTCGTGGTGGTCGAGGATGAGGCATTACAAGGCCCTACAAGGCCCTACCAGGCCCTACAAGCCCCTACAAGGCCTTGCACATCTCTACACACCCCAACCCCTAAACTTTCCAAGCGACCAATGCTTTTCCAAAAATGTCCCCAATTCCCAGGCAGTCCCGAGCCTACATGTCCAACCCTCTCCGTTACTCGGAGATCTCCCTTCTCTCCCTCTTTGCCTAAGGCTATGGACCTTTTTGTGGCGGCGGACCAGTTTGGTATTGATCGGCTGAAGAGGTGCTGGACACTGCTGCCAAGAATCGAGTTCGTCTAGTGGTCCTGGATCCTGTGAAGCCCGCTAAGGTTCAGGAATTTGCCTAGGGTGCAGGGATGTACTGCTGCCGAAACTCTTTCAAGCGGAGCCTTTAGTAGCCTGGTTTCGCAAAGAGCGACAGGGCTGTTCACATCTCGCCCCTGAGTGTGGAACCGTGAACTTAACAACTGAAAAGGGCCTTGTCATAGTTTGTCTGCGCCAGTACAGCCTACTAAAGCTTGAAGAAGGCACCGAAGAACAGCGCCCTGTGCACAGGTTGTGCGAAAAGAAGATACTTGTTTCAATCAATATCGACAGCGCGGCCACAATCCTCCAGGCAAGAATGAGTTGAAACACCAGGATTCCTCATCCGGGATTTTCACGGTGCTTGAGATAGATGATGTCCTTGCTGGCCACGAGAAGCCCTGCAAGGGCAGTGCTCATTCCAGGCTTCGGTGTGCTCTCTGCATCCCTTTGCAGGCTGCGAACATGCATATCGCAAACGACCTGCGGCAGAGCTGTGCCGGCCTAAGGCCTAGGGGTCCGATTTCTTTGTCATTTCTTTGTCCGATTTCTTTGAGTTGCCCACCTGGACACGGAAATCCAGCAGAAGCATCTTCCACTTACACGCATGATCACCGCAGTCCAAGGGGACATCCCTGAGAGACCCCCGAAAAAGATGTGCCAGGCTGCCCAAGGACTCAGTATCTTAGGAATGTCAGGCACCCTTTGGCTAGCAACTCCGCCCGCCTTCGAACTCCCCTCCTGTGAGTTGTTTAGAAGTTGGTTTCCCTCATTGCACTTTGCCCACCCCCAAATTAAACCCTAAACCCTAAACCCGAAACCCTAAACCCTAACCCTAAACCCTAAACCCTAAACCCTAAACCCTAAACCTTAAACCCCACCAGGCTATTCACAACGCAAGGGTTCGAGGTTTCCAGGGCTAAGTGTTTTCGCTCTTGCGCTCCTTGGATATGGGAGAGAAAGGCTCTGTCCGACATGCCGCCTGAGCTTCCTGTAGGGCTTAGGGTTTAGGGTTTAGGGTTTAGGGTTTAGGGTTTAGGGTTTAGGGTTTAGGATTTAGGGGAGTCACGGCTTCAAGATTCGCAAGCCCCGGCGCTTGGCTTGCGAATATGAGCAGAGGGAAGTGGAGACCGCTCCCAGGCATGGACTTCATTCTCAGGAACTTCGATGCTGTTTCCAAGACCCTTGCGTTCGAGGACTGCTCCGAGTTACCCAAGTGGCCGAGATGAGGGTCCGAGGTGAGAGTCCGAATTGGCATGGAAGAGCACCCTAAGCTTTCCAAAGCCCTACTGGGCCCTACTGGGCCCTACTGGGCCCTACTGGGCCCTACTGGGCCCTACTGGGCCCTACTGGGCCCTACTGGGCCCTACTGGGCCCTACTGGGCCCTACGGTCCGCTGAGCAGCAATCGATGTTTCAGGTCGCCATCGTGGTGTTGCCGTTCCTAGGTTTGTTGAGAGCAGTGGGCCTTGCGGTCGAAACCTATCACGAAGAGTTGCCCTCGTTCTATGCAAGCAAAAGGCCTTCAGGAGCCTTGGATTCATGACATATCTCAATGATAATGTGTAGTTCTGAGAGCCCCCCCAAAACACGTGGCAAGTCTTTCTTTGGCCGAGTCGCTTCACCATCAATTGCCAAAACGCACGACACGGAGGGCAACGTTGTGTCTTGAGTCCTGCTTGTGCTCGTGTGCTAGACGGTTAAAGCGCAAGAACACATACGCAGGCAATCTGTTGATACTTGTTTCGTGCACCTATGTTGCCGAGCCTACTTCGAACGCAGGAAATGGGTCGATCCAACGTGGAGCTTGTCTTCGAAATCTTGAAGCGCCGGTAGAGGTGCGCCCCTTGAAACCCAGGGTCTGGCAGCCAGCTGGCGTTTCTTTCTTCTTTTTCTGGCTGGCCCCTGATGTGACCTTCCCCCCGTTGCCACGGAGTGACAGGTCTGGACAGGAATTTCCAACAATAGTCGGCGAGGCCAGCTGTTTGGTTTTTTTGTTGCTTGCAATCGGGTTTTCCGGGTTCCCAGGATTCCTTGAAACGGGAAACAATACAGGGTGAAGCCTGAAGCGTCACACCCTAGGGGGGGGCGGCCCAAAAGACTTCAAGCTCTTCGCGCCAAATCTTAAGGGAATCCTCAAGGGAATTTCATGGAGGACCCCATACTAGGGAGCCTTCACCTATTCTTTCGGCCTAGCCAGGGCCACGGAAAAATTCGAGGCAGTGCATCATGTGTTTCGGTGTTGACATGCCCAGCGGAAGCTTAAGAAATGAGTTTCAAGTCTGTAGACCTAGCCATGGCCACGCGCTCAGGGCATGCCATAGAGCCCCTGCCTTCTTGCCTGGCAGTTCTGTGCTGGGTTTTCTGGAATCCCTAAACCCTAAACCCGAAACCCGAAACCCTAAACCCTAAACCCTAAACCCTAACCCCTAAAAACCCTAAACCCTAAATGGAAGCTGAGGCGCCGAGCCGATGACGAAGCTACGCCCTGTGCTGCGCGGAGAGCGAGCTCTGACATTCCACAGAGTGAAGCAAGACAGTCTAGGTCAGGGTTTAGGCTTTAGGGTTTAGGGTTGAGGGTTTGGGGTTTAGGGTTTAGGGTCGTTGTCGGTTTTTAAGATCGAATCTGCTGCAGCTGAAGGCGCTTGCGCTATGAGCCATGAGTCCTGTGCGTGTGGGTTTTCGCGAGCAAGGCTGGGATTCTTCTTGGGGCTGCAGAGCTTCCTGCTTATAAAGGTGGCAAGATTTGGTGGGATGCATCAAATCAGCCTGTTGGTGTGTGATCTTCATACAAGACCACAAAGTTGTGAGCAGGCTGCATGCCTCGTATGTGGAGTGTCAGACCATTCAAAAGATAGACCATCTCGTCATGTAGCAGCTGGCGTTGCAAAAGACAAGGCCACTCTTCTCACCGCCTCTGATGCTCATTCCGACGCCCAAAACTGAAACAGGCCCCAGCAGCCAAACATCACGGACGACATCCCTCAAGTTTGATAAGGTGCGCATTCCAGTTCTTCAGTAGCCTCCACGAAAGTTCTTAACACCCTTGGGCCCTAAACCCTAAACCCTAAACCCAAAACCCAAAACCCTTAACCCAAAACCCTAAACCCTAAGCCCTAAGTCCCCTTCAATCGCAAGCCGAAACCCCGAGGCCCGGTCTGGCAAGCATCATCTCTCTCCATGTGCTTTCCAAGGAAGGCTTTTTGCAGTCACACTTTCCGAAGAACTGTGGGAAGCTCTCCCCACTATCTGAGAGGGCACAAAGACGGCCGGGCAGTTTCGTTTCATTTTCTGTACCCTTGTCATTCGCCCTTCCTTGTTCACCCACCTTGTGTGAAACTATTTTGCATATCGAATAGGATCTCGTCCGTAAGCAGGATGTGTGCTCGTGTGTGAAGGGCCCTTACTCGTCCCATAGCTCCATTGCGATGAGAATGCTCGATTGTCTCACTTCATGGGGCAATGTCTGGGGAGTTCTAAGAGAAACATCACCTTGTCTCGAGAAGTGTGCTCTGTAGCGCCTGTCTGGAGAGAAACGTGGAGAACGCGCTTCTGTACAAATGACATTTGTACATCATCTTCGGCTCAAAATTGGCACGGGCGCTTGAAAGCGGTCGGTGCTGACGCGTCCAGCGCTGGGCCCTGCGCCAGAAAAGGGGGGGAGGCTACCAGTGGTGATCAATTACTTGTATATTATTCTTCTTCGTATGTCTTTTTCCATTAGTGTTATTATTAATGCAAATAATAGTAATACAATAGTAACAATGATTATCATTGTAGTCTTCCTGAGTACGTTCAGCAAGTAGCCTTCGCTCTGGAGAAGCTGGGTCCGAGAGGTGCTTCTTGAGAGGTGCCTAAAAAAGCCCTCAAGCCACTGGGTTCCGTGTGGAAATTGCTCGAGGAAGTTTTTTGGTTTGGCGGGCCCCTTCACTAAGTTCCCCAAGGGCCCTCACCCAAATCTCCGAGCTCCCAGCCTTGCAGTCGGAGTGCTGTGGGTTATGTGGCCCAATCCGCGAGTTGGAAGCTTGCATCACCTGAGCAGTGCTCCTTTCCTGCTATGCTTGGGTATTGACAAGTTGCCGAAAGGATAGCTCAAAGAACAAGCGCCGAGTCACCGCTAAGAAAGATTTGGGCCCCCAGCCCAAGGATCAGGACACTTCTCTGAATCTTTGAACATCGTTCTCTCGTCGAGAATGGCCCAAGCAAGTTTGGAAGCTTCGAAATTCATAGTTCGGGCCTTCGGGCGAATGCCGTCTAAGACCTCAACTTCTCAACTCAACGCTTCAGAACTCCAGGCCCGGCGCTTTCACCAGCAGCCTCCTTTAAGGCTCCAATCTGCGAGAGCCCGAAACCTTGGGATGTTCCCCGTATACCAACCGTCCTTCAGAGTACCCCCCATCGGAATTAATCCTTATGAGGGACTGTTTGTGTAAGGGGGAACATCCCAACCTAAACAACCCTAAACCTTAAACCCTAAACCCTAAACCCTAAACCCTAAACCCTAAACCCTAAACCGTAAACCCTAAACCCTAAACCCTAAACCCTAAACCCTAAACCCTAAACCCTAAACCCTAACCCCTGAACCGTGAACCCTGAACCCTGAACCCTGAACCCTAAACCCTAAACCCTAAACCCTAAACCCTAAACCCTAAACCCTAAACCCTAAACCCTAAACCTAAACCCTAAACCCTAAACCAAAGCCCATAAAACGCCCGCGAACACCATGCTGCATTTCGGCTCGGCAGCCGCCCGGTGAGCGGTGCAGAAAGCCCGAAGATCGAGGCCGGTTCGCGAGGCGTTAGGACGTGGGTGTATTTGATGCAAAGCAGGTTTTAGGGTCTGGAGTCTAGGGTTTAGGGTTTAGGGAGCTTAGGTTTCAGGGTTTACGGTTTAGGGTTTAGGGAGCTTAGGTTTTAGGGTTTAGGGTTTGGGGTCCCGGCGCTTTGCCAAATCCTTAACTGCAGCTTCTTCCAGTTGGACCTGTTTTGCGCTGCAGTCAACGGGGTTAGACGGGCTTAGAGGGTTGCGGGTTGAGGAGCAACGCTGTACCGTAACACTCAGCCCCAAAAGCTAGATCTAGGCTAGAACATGCTAGAACAGTGACTCCTTCAGTGCCGGACGGCAGGTACAAGCGGCAGAGTGGCAAATGGCCGGCACACCGAGAGACATGGGGACTGGAGTTTGTGAGCTCTTGAGTTCTGGTCTAGTTTCGAAGGTGGGGGCTGCGGGCATGACACTAAGACTCTGTCCTTCAGGCTGTACGGCAGTACAGCACTTCGAAGAAGCATTCCAAAGCTTATGTCCATGTTTACCAATCAGACTCGACTTCTTCGGTTATTCTGTCTCAATGTGTTACAGTATTGTAGGGTGACAGGCACTGCCTGCACTGTGGGGGACTTTGCATTGGAAGTCACAAGGCCCCCCCGGCGGGTGACAGACTCCCATAGCGACAGTTCGTGGAAGCCAACTGCCACGTTCGGGCGAACGCTGGCATCATGTGAACCAGGGTTCATATTACTGTTAGGGGCGGTGTCCTCTTGGAAGCTGATGCCTGAGGAATAGGACCATGTGGAAAGTGGAACAAGATGCTGCTCGCCAGAGTTCTGCGTCGCCTGTGGGGATTTTTAAGCCGTACAGGCTAAAGTCCAGGGTGGCACTCAGACCACTGACCGCCCGCAGGGGCCCGAGGCTCACACGGGAAAGCGGCCAGTTGTGCAAGGCCCTTCGTGCCGCCGCTTGTGTTCCTGGCACTATGTTTGCTATTCTTTGCTCCACCAGCACAGCGCCTCTATAACTCCACAACATCCATTCGGCTCTACGGAGCTCTGAAGGGCTTGCGTCCTTCCCTTGCTGCCAGTGACAGCAGTTGCTGACATGATCGCAGTCTAGCAAACCCAATCCTTCAGAACCACCCTAAATCCACCTCGGAAGCTCTGAACCCCAAGAAATTTAGGCTTGAATCCTCTTCAGAGTTTTGGAAACCAGAAGGCCAACTTTAAGGCCCCCCCCCTCCCTTCAAGTTCTCAACGGGCACTGCCAATTCTCCAGGCGTTTGTCCTTGGCCTTTTGTGAGTGCGCTGCTTATCCCCAAGTCCCGGGTTGAGGCTGCGACCACGGGCTTAGAGCCGCTGGTGGAGCAGCAGATTTCCGTCGTCACCAACGACGGACGGGTGCGGGCGCCCAGCGGGCCGTTTGGCCGTGTGGAAAGCAAGCCTGAAGAAGGAGTGTCATTATGTCCTTCCATGGACACTCAGCGAAGTGGAACACCGCAGGGTTTAGAGTTTTTCTGGGAGTTGTCTCAGAGACGCTTCAGAACTACAGCAGTTGCAGTCTTCAGGTTGTTGGGTTTTAAGAAGATTCAGGGAAAACCCCATTGGCCAGCAAGAACTCTGTTTGCTCGCACATGCCCTCGGCAAGAACAAGCCTGAATTCTGAAGAAGTTTAAGGTCGAGTCCTTCATCCACCCAGAAGCGAGTGATTGATCAGAACGATAAACTGAAAGCGTGGTTGGTGAGCGTGTATTTGCTCTTTTTGGCTTGGACAGATGGTTCTGGGATGCGGGTACTCACATAGGGTTCAGCGCAATGTGCCCACGCGTTTATCACTGCAAGCCCAACATTTGCGAACCGTTTACGTTGGGGCAGAAAGTCTGCAGTGTACAACGACATTCATTGACCTTCGAGACCGATTCGAGACCTTCCCTAACGTCCGAAGCTTCTGCTTCCAGCTCTTTGTCGGCGTGCTGCGGGGTTTTGACCAGTCGTCGAACGTCGTGCTCAGCGACTGCCAGGACACGCGTTGCGTAAAAGGCGGATTTCGAAACTGCACGGTGGAGT